GTTAAGCTGGACTGCAGCCTGAGTTTCGGGGAAGATGAATCTCCCATTCCTGGAAGTGTCCAAGGCCAGGTTGGAAAGGGCTTTGGAGCAAGCTGGGACAGTGGAAGGTGTCCCTGCCTTTGGCAGGGGGTGGGAACTATAGAGGGTCTTCAAGGTCCTTCCTGGCCAAAGCATTCAGTGGCTCTTTGGTCTCCAGCAGAGGAGTTGGAGCCCCAAGAGGAGTGCCAGGATATTTCACTTGCAGGTGAAGCTCCTGCAGGGATGGAAGTGGGAACCCAGGGATGCAAACGCAAAGTGAAGTGAGGGAGTGAGCTTGCAGCACGTCTGCTGTTCTTCAGTAAATATCCATCTGTGTATTCTTGCTCCCCATTAATTGCAAGGTCAGTTATCCTTCCTCCAGTGAGGGTGATCTGTGTCCCCGTGCCTGAGTGACCTCACCTGAGAGTGATTCAGCTGCAGCAGCACCGTGAATTGTTACCCTGCAACACATTTGAGCCTCTCCACTTCGAACCCTGCCACACTTGAAAGTTTTAACCCCTAGGTTCTGCTGTAAACTAAATATTTCCTCAACCTGGGGTCTTTTGATCAGTTTTGGGGGTTTTATCTCTTGCCTTATCTGGAAAAGCACCGACCCCATCCGGCCTTCTGCCACTCTGCAGTTGTCATTTCAGACACTTCCCTGGCAGCTGCAAAGCTGATAGGAAGCAACAAAACTTCCACTGTGGATTATCAGGAACACTACTGAGGCATTGCTTAATGCATCTGATATCTCAGCCTCGAGAACAGAAGGGAAAAAAAAAAGAAAAAAAAAAAGAAAAAAAAAAAAGATTGGCAGCTATTGCAGGAATTCAGAGAGGGGCACCTTGGTAAAGAGCCGGGGGGAGGCTTCTCCTTCCATTACAGAGCCCTGGGCTGAGATGGATTCCCTCTCCATCATCGTCCTAAGCACATTATCCCTGAAAGAAAGAGGGTTTCTCTGAATCTGCAATTTTTCTAGGCTTCAGTGTTATTGAAATGAAACGGCTTCAAGGATATCTACATTCTTTACCATCATATGGATTCTCATCTCATGTAAATTATTTGGCCACTTTTCATTTTAATCCTCCACTGTCATTTTCTACAAAAGAGATCATTTGGTTTCTTCATGGAAGGTATTCAGCTGACAGCTGCCCTTTGTCTAGAAAGCAGTGTGCCTTTGCAGGAGTTACTTGTGCCTGCTCCTTTTCTTTTTTTCTTTCCTTTTAAGTTCATATTGCTTCATATTTTTCATCCGTAGCTTTCAGAGACTTTTCAGACTGTGAACAGGTTTGTAGGTGTGAAGGGAATTTTAGACATCCTGCATTCTTTCCCTGTGTACCTGGCTGATAAGAAACAGAACTAGAGGCAGAATAATTAATTTACTGCAAAAAGAACTGTAGTCCAAAAAAGTCAGAGTGTTTTCACAACTTCTGTATGAGAAAACAAAATAGTCAGTGATAAAGTCTTGAATTTTTTTCCATGGCTTCCCTATCTTGAAAACTTAATTATTCTCATCTACTTTTCAGGAATCATATAACCACAGAGTCATTAGGGGTGCAAAAGAGCTTTAAGATCATCAGGTCCAACCATCAACCAGCATTGTGTTCATCACTAAGCCACGTCCCCAAGTGCCACATGGTGGGAGGTTTTAAATGTTGTGTTTTGTGGCGTGGTGTGTCAGCCACAAGACCTTGATGGGAGGGGGATGAAATGCGATGTGTTGGTAGAGTTTATGCACAGGGAATTTGGAGGCTGAGGAGGAAAATCAGCAATTAGGGTTGGATATTTTGGGTTAGCTGGAGCTTTGAGACCTTTTCCTTTCAGGGTATGAGCTCTGATAAAGCAGCTTGCACTCCTTCAGACATTAAAAGCACCATGTGGTCCTGGAGAGGAACAGTATGGCCTCAAGAATGGCCTTAAGCTGAAAGGGGTAGATTTAGGTTGGATTTGGGGAAAAAATTCTTCCCTGGGAGGGTGGCACAGGTTGCCCAGAAAAAGCTGTGGCTGCTCCTGGGTCCTTGGAAGTGTCCAAGATTGGGTTGGAGCAGCCTGGGATAGTGGAAGGTGTCCCTGCCCATGGATGGATGTCGGAACTGAATTATCTTTAAGGTTCCTTCCACCCCACACCATCCTGGGATTCAGTTCTGAGGAGAAGATTCAGTTTTGGGGTGCTCAGGTTGAGGGCTGGCCAGGTTTATAGGGAGGTGGAATGTGTGGGGGAAGTCACATCTTTAATGAGGATAAGGAATAATCCAGCAGGGGGAAAAACAGGCAGGTTCTAAAATTATTGTCAACTGCAGAAACAGAGTTTTAACTGCTCCAGTAGTTCCCCTTCCAGCTGGTACCCACTTGGCTTTGTGATCCCCACAAAAATTACCAGGACAGCTCTGTGACAACTCACTGAGATTTTTGATGCTTTTTCATAAATTGGAGATTTGATATGAGAAGAATCTCACATTTTCTAGTGAGAATCACTTTTCTTGTAGACATTTTTAGACATTTTACATGAAAAGATCAGAAATTCCTGTTTGAATTTAAGGAAACATTTCAGATTGATGAAAAATGTCAGGCAGATGAATTGTTTATAGCTCAGTTGTAGAATGTTTAGAGCTGAGAATTACTGTTTCAGCAGTTTCTGAATCACAGAAATGATTGGAATACACAGAACTCCTTCATTTGCTAGAAGAGGTGTCTCATCCATTGTCCATTTCTGGAAGTTTGCTCCATCACAGGGAAATTTCCTGTTATCCTAGAGAGCTGTAAACATGGGCTGAAGTTTTGTTGTTGGTAGGAAGTATTTTTCTTATTTGTTGGAGGTAGCAAAAGCCTGGCTGAGGCTTGGTAGAGGGACAGTGTCGAGTTAGGTGACAAGAAAAGGGTCACTGGTGGCTCTGGTGTTGTCTTTGCTGCTTTAATTAATGTCTCAGTTTCTTGCATCAACAAGAATGGGCAGTTCAAGGACACCCTGACTGATAATTTTAGGTATTTGTATTATTTCTTCCATAAATGTTGATTTTTGTGTACATGTGGTGCTGACCTGGATTGCTGGTTGGGACTCCAGGGCAGGCACTATGTTCATGTAAATAACAGAGCAGCAGTTTTCAGCTGTGATCTCTCAATGCTCCTTTATCTCAGGATGCTTAAAAGAGGAAATGATTCTTGGCTCTGGGCAGAGGGCAGTGCTCTGCAGGTGGGAGAGCTGAAATACTGTCATGGGGCTGTTGAATTGGGATCCTCAGCTTTTGCTTCCATCACTAACTACTGGAAAAAGCGTTTTCTGCTCTGTTCTCCATTCCCCAGAAATGCACCTTTGTACAGAAAGCGACCCCTTTGAGCAGAAATTTGCAAGTTGAGATAGACACACACACCACTTCAAAGGCTGGAATCACAGAAAGGGGATGGACATGGGAGAGGGGAGAATACACTTTAAAAATTGCCACATCCAGAGGGCGTGATGTTCGTTCTAAGTTCTCATAAAGCTGAACAAAGACACCAATCCTGTGTCAGGGGGCTCCTCCTTTGATTCCTCAGTCACCTTAATTCCAGCAATTAAGTTCATTCTAATACTGGAAGTGTTGGCTGACAAACTCCCAACTTTTCCAACACTTGAACCTAAGTTTAAGGCAGTGCTGCCCTTTATTTAGAGAAGATTGAGGCATTCCTGTGGTTCCATTTGCTCTCTTCCAGCAGATCACCTGGAAGTCCATGAATGGTGCAACTCTCTGAGCTGATGTGTGATTTCTCTTGCTCACTGAGCAACAACTTTGAAATAGGGACCCCATTTTGGGCATGGCTGTGGCTGTAAATGACTCTGTGAACAGGGTTATGAGGTAATGGCACCTAAAATTCAGGCTGAGCGTTCAGAGTTTGGACAGAAACAATTCCTGTATGGAACAGAATCTGGATTTCCATAGAAAGTAGCTGGGGCCAATCCACTCAGTGAATTATGGAAAATAATAATTGCCTCAATATGCCTGAATCTCCTACTACCAATTGATCTACAGTTAAGGAAGTAAATATCTTATTTTCAAATCCAGAGCAGCTGTCCAACAGCCAGACCTGCTGCTTGATCAAAGTTGATAAAGGAAATCCTAGGATTATATATTATGGATAATCTACAGAAAAAACAGTGGTAGTCCCTGCTTGTGGTGTGATTAGCAGAGTCCATTGAAGTAAACAGGACATTTTGTTGGTTTTAATGCAGATCTGATAAGCTCTGCAGAATGTAAATCAGTTCATTAAAATTTGCAGAGCGGTTCAATGAGGTAAAAGAAGAAACAGTTTTAACTGTTATAGGATGTTTACTGCATATAAAGTACAAAAAACCCCACAAATATTCTGGAAAAAATGCTGTTAGAAATGTGCTGTACTCAGTGTGTCATTCTGAGGAACATTGAAAAAATTTCAATTGTGGTTTTAAAAAAATAATCTGACTGTAGAAATTGTCCCGTGTAATTTCACAGCATCTCCACACCATACCTGTCTCTGCACTATTTGTGGGGTTTTGCATAATATAGATGTTGAAAGTACATATGGATGTGTATATGTTAACAAATATACATGAACAGGGATCAAAATAAATGTTAAACAGTTCCTTCTGCCTAAGCTGGGGGTGTGTCAGGGGATAAATAATAAATAAATGATAATAAAGTCAAAGGCCTGTGGTGTCTTGGAGATGATGATTCACTTGACAATCTTACTCAGATATCAATGGAGTTGCCTGCACTTTTGGGTGTCCTAGTAGAATATTCCAAATGCTGAGATAATGTTCATTTATCTGAGGGATTTGGGAAGTTTTCCTTTATTCCATGTGGATGTAAGTGCAGGCTGATGTTACTTTATCCTTAATATTCACTGTGTCTGGTACCTCTGGAGGAGTGATGCATCAATCAGCAGCTGACACCTTTTAGGCGAGCTGCTTTGGAACCTTCATGCTCTGATTTCTTAAGAAAAAAACCTGGTTTTTTTTTCCCCTTTTGCAGTTACTTCAATGAGAATCAATATCCCGACGAGGCAAAGAGAGAAGAAATTGCCAACGCCTGTAACGCAGTTATACAAAAACCAGGTGAGGAGCTGCTGGGGGGCCCTTCCCAAAAACAAACAGGTTTCAGCACCTTGAGTTCTCAGACTGATGTTTGCAGAATCATTTGGGCTGGAAAAGACCTCCAAGGTCATCAGCCTTTGACTGATAAATGAGGTTTTTGGAGGAGGAAAGAGCTCAGCTCTCCTGTTTTTGGGTGTTTTACAGCTTCCAGAGAGAGATCTGATATTAGAACCTGAGTGTTAATGTTGAATCTTATCTTTAGGTCAACAAGTTGCATTTTCCCTGTTTCTGGAGAAGTTATCTTTGGGAGAGGAGCATGAATATTCAGTGTAGTGTTAGTGGATGCACCTGCCTTTGCTTAGTTTTGCTAACCAAACATTTACATAGATTTCAGAACTTGTGTTTTGGATATATTTAGATTTCATACAACCAGAAAAAAAATTAATGAGAAGGCAACTAAGGCGTGACTCATGCACATGGAATCACAAAATTATTTAGGATGGAAAAGCCTCTGGGATCATTGAGTCCAACCAGTTGTCCCCAAGTGCCACATCCACAGGGCTTTTAAATCCCTCCAGGAATGGGGACTGCACCACTGCCCTGGGCAGCTGTGTCAGGGCTGGACAGCCCTTTCCAGGCAGGAATTATTCCCAATATCCAACCTGAACCTCCTTTGGTACAGCTTGAGGCTGTTTCCTCTTGTCCTGTCCCTGTTCCTTGGGAGAGAAGATGAATCCCCACCTTGTTATCCTTTCAGGGGGTTGTGGAGAGCTGGGACTGTCACAGGATAGCACAGGGTCAGACCAGTTTAGAATGGAAGTGACCTCTGGGGTTCATCTGGTGAGGCAGGATCAGTTTAGGTGAGATTGTTCAGTTTTCAATATCTCCAAAACCAGAGGTTTTCCCACCTCCAGGCCCCTGTTCCACAATGTTGAGCACTCTCACACCAAAGTACTTTTTCCCTAATACCTGCTGAAATTTTCCCTGAAAAATCCATCAGGAAGAGGACCAGAGAGCTGAGGATTTGATTCCTGGCTCTGCTGCTGGTTTGTGGAGTAACTTGGAACAAAGTGCTGCAGGGCTGTGTCAGGGAGCAGTAAAATACTGCCAGTGGTGCTGATGCATTCAGCAGCAGCCAGGCTATCAATTTCCAGAGTTTTCTTTCTTTCACTTGTCTCATCTCTCCTAACTTATTTAAGTGTGCAGATTGCTGCAATTACATGGTTTTGTTTTTTTTTGTATGCTGAATAAATAAACTTTGAGAAGGAGTCAGAAGCAGAGGGGCTCAACCCTGTGGAGCCTGCAGAGGTCTGAGGATGCAGATGTGGAGAATATTTTGTATACGGTCAAGAGCAACAGAAAAGGTTTCCAGAATGCTCTTGGAATACTGAATCCCTCCAGTCTTCCCTTATTTATACTGATGACCAGATAAAGGCATAGTTTTCTATAGCTGCCTTCTGGATTTTTACACTGGATTTTTTTTTTGTTGGTTCAAGTGTAAAAATCCAGTGATCTGGTTTCCAGCATCCACCTCTGTTCTCCCAAAAGATCCTGAGTGTCCTAGCACAGCTGGGAGAGTGTGATGGGTGATGGGGCTGAGAGAAAGGAAAGCAGATTGCAAGGGTGACACAAAACCTCTTCATTCATTATGCTGCTGTATAAAACCATGAACTGTGCGCTGGTGACACAGAGTAAGAGGAGGAGCCCCAGGGGTGGGGTTTGTGGCAGGAATTGCAGTTTTTGGAATCTCAGATCTGTACTTGAACTGGAAAAGCAGCCCTTAATTCTCCCATGGCTCTGGTTTGAGTTGGTTGAAGCTGCAGAGAAATCCCTGTATTTCAGATTTTTAAAAAGCAGAAGAAAAGAAGATGTGTGGTAGTTAGTGCCTCAGCACCTGGACACAGGAATTTGATCCACATAAAGTTCACTTTTTTCTCAGTTACAATAACTTGCCAGTGCTCTCTGTGTTTCAGGGGTTTATCCCACAGAATCCCAGAACTGTTTGGGTGAGCAGGGACCTCAAATCTCATCTGAAGTTCCAATCCCAGGACAGGGACACCTTCCACTGTCCCAGGTTGCTCCAAGCCTTGTCCAACCTGTTCTTAGACACTTCCCAGGGATGTGGCAGCCACAGCTTCTCTGGAACCCAGTAACACCACTGAAATATTACTTTTCCCTTCTGTTGCTTTCCTAGGTAAAAAGTTGTCGGATTTGGAGCGAGTTACCTCCCTCAAAGTGTACAACTGGTTTGCCAACAGGAGGAAGGAGATCAAGAGAAGAGCCAATATCGGTAATGTATCACAGAGCCTGCCTGCAGGGCTTGGGGTTTGTTCAGGAGAGGTGGCAATTACGTAAGAATAAATTAGTGAAAACACCAGAGGTGCTGACAGCCTCAGGAGAAATGTGGAGGAATTATGAAAATGAGCCCCTTGCTGTTCCAGATTTTTTGTAAAATACGTATAATTTGTAAAATTCTGTCATCAGTGCTGGAAAAGTGGTGCAGTTACAAAGTTTTACTGGAAGATCAGCTTTAAAAAGCAAAATGAGAATTTCATAGGTGGAAGCAGAGTTGCGTTTTCCCTCCTTTGAGTATCCAAACTCAAATCTGAAATGAAACCTCGAAATTGTAAATAAAGGAGATAGAGATGTTGGCAGGATCACAAACTTAGTGTGGTGTTTATCCTGGTTATACCTCTGCCCCTGACAGCTTTCCAAGGTTTTGCCCAAGGCCAAGTGGGTGGAAAAAAGCCATATTTTTTGTTGATGATCAGGAAAAAACAAAAGTCACTTCAGAGTTAACCCTGTGATTTCTTAGCTGATAATAAGGAAATCAAAAGTGACTCTGAACTTGTAGGAAGGAGACTCTCTGGTGTGGGTAAGACATTCTAAGGAGAATAAATCACCTCAGTGGCCTGGATTCAACAAACTCCTGCCATTCATAAAAAATGTGATGCTCTTACTTAGATAGGAAGAATTACTTTTGCAACACATGGGTGAACAGACATCCATATCTGCTTATTTCCAGTATTTTTAATTATTTCAAATGTTCCACTATTTTACCTTATTTCTGAATAAGAAAAAAACCTTCTTATTATATCATTTAACACATTGCTGAAGTTTAACTAAATTTATTTTTCTACAAGTAAAAATGGCTTCTCAAAGGGATGGGGGAATAAAGCAAACTCAGTCTAAGGCAGGTGGAGTTTAGTGTTTGGGGAGGAGGTTTAGAAATAAATTAAAAAGAACCAAAGTATGGATTCTACTGGAAGCTGGATTTTTGTGTTTTCAAATCCCTGAAGTGCTTGCAGAAATTTCTCCCATCTATTTTCAGGCACTGCCCACCCCCTCGAGTCCTGGCCAGTCCAAACTATGGGGGAAGATTTACAGGGAATGCCTTTGGCACTCCAGTACCTTAGAAATGACACTGATTTCTGTTTAGGACTGCCTGGATAACAGGGGTATTTACTCACAGACAAGTTGGCAGGGAAGGATTTCAAGCAAACCAGTGTTTACACCTGTGTTGCCTTCCCAAATGTTGGAGAGTGAAGAGGAAAGGGCTGAGAACTAACCCTGTTCCTCCAGTTATTCTAACTTCCTGAAAAAAAAAAAAAAAAAAAAGCCCAGTTGCTTTAGCTACTCCAATGCATCAGATAAATGAGGGATCCATTTGCTTTTTTCGAAGAAGCAGCAATCCTGGAGAGCCATGGAATAGATGTACAGAGTCCAGGAGGTCATTCCAACAGCGACGACGTGGACGGCAACGATTACTCGGAGCAGGTGAGTGCCGGAGCCTCGTGGCCCAAACAGGGAGAGCTCAAACACCTTAAAAGGCCCTTTTGCCTCTGGAAAATCCTGTTTTGTTCGGCTTTTGTGTCATTGTGATGGGGAAAGGGTGAGACTCCAGTATTCACCCACATGGATTTGTTGCCTTACAACAGGACACTTGGCAAGTCCGCAATGGAGAGGAGGAGGGACGATGTTCCGAGGGAGGCAGAGAAGCAGAGAAGGTAGAAGAAGACAGGAGGATCTGCTCCAAACAAGCAAGTTACACCCCTCACACCACACACGATGTCTGAGACACGGCAGGAGAGCCTCACCTCAGCCAGAGCCCTGCCATACTCACTCTCTCCTTCCCCACGCTCTGAGTTCCCCTCCCTCAGGAAGGGATGGACAGGTCTTTCACAGTCCTGTGTGTCCCCAGAAATTGTCCCCGAAGAACTGGGCACCTCTTGCACCTCTGATTTCTTTCTGCAAGAATAGGCCAGGGCCACACCTGCAGACATGAGCAGGAGGGAGGGTCCCTGCCCAGGAGCCTTCAGAATTCCTTGTGCCATCCTTTCCCAGCAGGATTCTGAGTGCCCTTCTGGAAGGTCCTGAGCTCCCTCTGTTCTGTGGGAGAACCTTTCAGGAGCTTCTTGGGATCATCCCTTAGACACTGACAGACAAAGGATGAAGGGTGGGGGGAAAGGATTTGATTAACTAAACTCTGACCTTTAATTGGCCTATTCCATATTGTTCTGCAATAGTGTGCCACTACTTGGATTGTTTACATATTATCTGTCTTTTTTTCTTTGTTCATTTGTTTTTGTTTGTTTGTTTGCATTTTTATTCTTGCCTGTTCTCTCTTTTTCTTGGTTGTTTTTAACTCTTGACAGCAACTTCTTTTTTAAATTCTCTAGCAAAAGAATACCCCTTCCCGCACTCTGAGCCCTCACCTACCCTAAAGTTGGTGACCCTTCCTTCACACACCTTCCTGACAGGTATTGCATCCCCTTCCCAATTTTCCCAGTGTTGGCCAAACCCCCAGGGCTGTGTGTGCTTGGCACCAGTGACTCCACCAGTTCACTCACCTGCTTTTGAGAGGAGATCTTTCTGTGCTGGATCACTTTTCACTGCCTGTTCTGGGAGAAGCTGGGAGTTTTCCCTCTCCAAAGGCTGCTGCTGGAGTGGAACAGCAGCTGAGTGGCCTGGAATGAGTCCCTGGCACACTTGGCTCTGGCCCAGATCAGCAGGTCCCTGGCAGAGGCATCCCCAGCTGCTCTCTCCTGATGGGGATTGAGACCCTTTTTATAGGTCAGCACCAGCAGATTTGGTGGGACCAACTTTTCTGGCTCTCAGTGATGAGAAACTGCTCTGTGACTGCCGTAAAATATTTAGGAACCACTGCCAAGCCCAGAAAATTCCCTGTCAGACAGATAAAGGACCGGAATACTGAGGTGGAGTGTGATGTAGACTCCCAAACTATGTTTTTCTTCTGTGCATTAACCAGCATACTTCAAAAAGAGAAATAAATTGGTTATTAAAATTTAAAAGTCTTTGTTTAGAGGCCTTAGAAATGACATTTCTCAGTAATCTGGGCTCCTCTACAAGGTGTAATTAGTCGTTAGCAGCAAAGCAGATTAAATGGCAGATTCTCCCAATGACCATTTAACATCCCTTAGCTGTTAAACCCAGAAACTGTGTTTTCTACAGCAACACTTAAACTCTAATAAATTTTAAAAACACAAAGTTCATCTAAGTACTAATGAAGTACCTAAACCCCCAGATTTTAGGGCACTGTATTTGTGCCATGATAAAGATTTCTGAGAGGCCCTAAAATTTACCAGATCCTTGTTATAAGTGAATGAATCCTTCTAAATAACCTCAGAATTTTAACAAAACCTGTTTTTTCCTTTTTTTTTTTTTTTTTGGTCTTCCTTAGCATTTGCCACCCATCATCTTCATTTAAAAATGCTTTATGCACATTTTAAATTTTAAATCACACAAGTTCATCACTTGAAGGCTGTTGGGAGACTGATAAATGTTTATCATTTGCTTTCTCTAAATGATAATGAGTTAAAAATCCAGGATCACAGGGGTATAACTATTATTGCCCTGTTTTAAAGAGGGGAAAGCACCAAGATTTTTCCCAAAATTCCTTACTTGATTTATGGTGGTTCCAGTACCCTTCAGTCACTGGTTTTCTTAGCATTCAAAGGTTTTTCCAGCATCTTTTCCCCTGTATCTGTGTGAATTTAATGTTTTCACAGGATGCTGACTTGGACCAAGGGTTGGGCTTGTGTCATGGTTCTGGTCAACAGTTCCAGTTAAAGTAGTTCTCTAATATATATAGAATTATTTCATTCTAATAGCTTCCAGCTTCTGGAAGTCAGTAGTTTTAAGAGTCTTCCTGAGTTTCCATGATTTCTAGCAGACTAATTTTCCCTGGATTTGTCAAACCCCTGCCTTTTAAAGCCATTTTTACTTTTGTCTGGTGTAAAAATCAGTGAATCCTGAACTGAACTGTGCTAAGCGAGCAGTGCTTCCCACTGCTGCCTTGGATCACATTATCATTCCAGGGAGTGTCCTTGATTACTAAATCATCAAAAAACATGGACAATTGTCCTCTTATTTTCCAATTATTTGTAATAAACATTTCTCATATCAGCCATCAGCCATTTCTTCCCCAAACTGGAGGCCTTTACTCTGTTTAGTTTCTTCTCATGAGGAAACCTCTTCCCTTGGGGTGCCTTTTTTCTCTGCCTTTACGACTTCCGTTGTGGCATTGAATAGAATCAGAGAACCACAGAATGGTTTGGGTTGGAAGGGACCTTCCATGGCCAGGAATGACCTAAATAGGGTGACCAGAATATTCCAACAATAAGCATGGACCTGTGCCGTGCCCAGTGATTCCTGTCTTAATTTGCTTTCCTGACTTAACCTGGTGTATCACTTCTGTCTTTATAATTGAGTATTTATAATCATGTCTATTTATAATTGAATATTTTCCTCCAGAGCTGGGTCCCCCACTCCCTGCCTTGCTTACCTCTGCACAGTGAGGGAAACCCTCACTCCTAAACCCACGTTGTGAACCAGCTCTGTGCCCCCACGATCACTCGGCGCACTTGTTTTCTCCGCTGTGGTTTTGGACTTATGGAATAACCCTGCTTCTCTCTGCTCCTTCCCACATGATTCCCAGGATGACAGCACTAGCCATAGTGACCACCAAGACCCCATTTCCTTAGCCGTGGAGATGGCAGCAGTCAACCACACCATCCTGGCGCTGGCCCGGCAAGGAGCCAACGAGATCAAGACAGAGGCTCTGGACGACGACTGATGCCAAGAAAGGGGAGGGTCAAAGCAAGAAGTAACTTAGTTTTAGACGTAGCACCTTAGCAGACTTTCCTCGGTCCTTAATATGTGTTCTTACAGTATAACTTTGCAGTTTCTTGTACGTCAGTTAGCTGTTAGGGTCTTGTTCTGTGAAGATGGCATGGTGCCCTCAGCCTTTGCATATACTCTCTCAGTATTAATTCCCAGTAAATAATCAATCAACCAACCAACCTCCCTCTCCCGGCCCCCAGTGGCTAGAAAGGTAAAATCAAAAAACAAAAAAACAAAAAAACAAAATAATCAAAAAAAAAAAAAAAAAAGGAAAAAAATATATCTTGCTGCTCTGTCTTAGCATTCAAAGTGCTTCCAGGTATTTTAGACAGCCCTCAATTACAAGTCTTAGGCTACACTTAAAATCTTGGATAACCTTAGAGATGGTGTTGAAACCGATAGTCCGTACGCTTTCCCTGCCCTGAGACTGGAAGGATGCAAGCTGAGGTAGTGGCACAGGGTGGATGGACACCAGACCGGGAGTATCAACAGAGAGTAAAAAGAACACTTAGAAACCCCACTCCAGCATGGGAATAAATGATTTCCAGCTGCAATAAGCCGTGCCTCACTGGTCATACAGTGACTCCGTTTACTTCCGGGTGCTGTGCTGAGAATGTCCATTGGAAACACATTCCCACATTTCGGTTGATGCTCACATATTCAACACAGACATCCTCTACTCTCACAAGCTGCCTGGCTTAGTGGAGAAGTGCTGCCTTCTGCCTCTGGGACCATGGTTGAAGCCCAGCCTGGGATCAAATGAAAAATGAGCTGAATGTCTAATGGACAACAGTCCACTTCTCAGAACCACTGCGCGTTCTTGGCATGGCTGGCAGTGCCTGCTCAGAAGAGGTCTAGACTCTTACCCATCTGTCATTAACAATTTCACCTTTAATTCCTCCTCTCTCACCTTTTCTGTCCCCACCCTACTCCCCTCTCCACTTTGCCACTTTCGAAAGCAATGTTTTCCAGGAAGGTTGTTAAGGTCCTGAAATGGGTGAGTGGATTTTCACACGCCTGTGTAAGTAATGCCTACGTCCCGACTAGCCTGAAAGGTTGCTGGAGAATTTGACATCTGACCTTTGCTAGATAACCATCAGAGCATAAATATTCTCCTAAATATGAACTTTTTTTGTTGGTTTGGAGGCAGGAGGATCTCTTACCTGAGAAATGGGGTGTGAATGTTTTGTGTTCTCTTTACTCTGTCTTTGTTAAGGTGTGAGAAAGCTATACTGCTACGAGCAATTTAATTAATAATTGGAAGCCATACTGATAATGGATGTGGTAATATTTGTAAAGCAAACCTACTCTAAGTAGCAGGAACTAATGGAATTGTTTTCCTTGATCATATGTAGCACTTTTGTTACTTTTTTCTTAAAGATATTTATATTTGATAAGTCTTTTTTTTATCATTTGAGAATTCCAAATACCAAACAGCAAACTTGCATTACAGAGTCACCCTGCGATCACCTTGTCATCTAGTATCTAAATGATGAACTGTGTGTGCATCTAAGAAAATTACATCTGCTAGCATTGTGTGGAAATGATCTCCTGGCATCCTGATAAAATGATATGTTGCTGCCGGTAAGAGGAAACATTTTGATGGAAACAGCACGAGAAGCGTTAGAGACGGGCAGGGCTGTGTTACATTAACAGAGAACAAATTAAAAACCTACGGAAATTTTCGTGTAGAGGCACATACATAAAAGTTTGCATAGCGTTTCCTCCACATTCCGCTTTATCTTCCCAGTTGGTGTGGGAATAGCTTAAAGAGGGGAAAACAGCTCAGTCTGAAGAATGGGTTTCCCTTTGCTCCCCTCCACTTCCGAGGTGGAGCGAAGGGAAGTTCCCGTTACTCGCCTTGTTCTCATCCCTTCCTCCCTCTTAACTCTCAGTGACCCCTCCAGAGCGGCTCCTCAGCAGGTTTTGAGCCAGGCTGAGCCCTCCAGATCAGCTTCCCCCGTGTCCATGTGGAGCAAGCTGCTCCCCCAAGTGCCGAGGAGATGCTGTGCTCAGAGGGCACCGCCCTGCCACCTCTTTGTCCCTTGGAAAATCTATAGGTAGGGCTTGGCCTTGACTTCCACTTATGGATTTCATTGGAAAATTTATGTGCTTTCCTTAGGTATAGATCACTGGAGCAGAATGAAGCCGTCTTTTTTTTTCTGTTTTATTGCATTTCTTGAGTAGGCAAATTCATGACTAGTGTCAGGGTGGACTCAGGAAAGGCAGGACTTGGATCAGTGACCATTGCACCACTGCAGTTATTTTCTTACTGCCTGTATGAATGTTTTGGTACTAAGGAGTGAAAGGATGGGGAGAGCTTTTATTTCTATTTTTGCACAGCAGAATGATCGAGCAAACTCGAGCCTTAGTGGAATTTTACCTACTTATTCATTCCACAGTCACACACTGAGCTGACAAGCAACATCCACGATTTATAGTAAGGAGATTTTAATAATCGATGACCTCTTTACGTTGGGCTTGCCACCACCATTTGTTCTGGCTGTTTCATTTTAAAAAGAACAGACTCAAACTGTTGGACAGCTGCAATTTTAAAAGACATATTGCTTATTGCTTACTATAGTATCTGTAAAAAACAAAAAGGGCATTGTTTGAGGCTTTGCCTTTTAAGAGCAATAAGGAAGAATAAAAATAGTATTAGAACTTACATATCCTGATTATCGGTTCATGTGATGCAGGATCAAAGTAACACCGCTGAAATTGTGTGTCTGTACCATCTAATGTAGAATAATCTGGTCTTAATTCTGTTTGTCACTGTCAGGAAGCTGCTGACATCCCACACCATTATCTTCTCTGAAGGTTAAACAGGTAAAAAAAACCCTTGTGAGCAGATCTTCCTGGGCTATACATGCCAGTTCTCTACCTTCCCACATCATCATCTTACCAGAGAAAATATCAAATATCTGGGGAATCAACCCCTTGGTTCTGTGGGGGTCAGTGTTTGGGGTGTGTCTGCTCTGGCTTCTCTTTGCGCATCGGGAGGTACAAGTGGCACCTCAGAGGAATGAGTGGGACCTCAGCTGTCCCCAGGGTGCTCCTGGCAGGTTGTTCCCTTCATTCTGGAAGTTCACAAGGAGCCATTTGCAGCTGCTCAATCCCTTTTTGGTTTGAGGTGAATTATCTGGAATGGGACAGGTGCTGATGTGATGGTACGGAGATGAAGGAATGTGATCTGGAGTAAGTGAAAGAATCGGTGGAGGGCGTGTCCTGGAATTCAGGAATCCTGGAATTCTTTCTTTTGGGGGTTTTTCCACTATATGGGAGTCATCTTTGTCTTTCTGTCTGTGGTTTTCTTTGGACATGAAGCCTCGTTTTGGTAGCACTGCAATGGAGTGGCAGTTTGTTGTAGCCAGGCTGGAGTCACTGCAGTTTGTTCTCCTTGAAGTGGCTCTGGTGTCAGATCCGAGCTTCCTTTTTGTTCTGTGACCAGAGAAGAAGTTAATTTAAGAAGCTCCTCATCTGTGATGGTCACAGATTGCTTTTACCTTCGTAGAGTGAGTTCTGGCTGATACTTTGTCCCTCATAAAGTCCTTTTACTTGAGTTGTTGTCTCTGACCGTCTTGTTAAAACAACAATTTCTACCTCTACTTCTTTTCTGGATTGTTTTGGTGTAGGGTTTTTTTTTTTAGTTCCCCCACCCTTTTTCCTGAAGTATGAGATCCTAAACATTTGCAAAAGCCTTATGAGTTGATAAAAATCAGCAGATTTGTTACCTGTTGATCTTGTGAATACTCTGTAGACACACGTGTGGTTATAGTGGAATCCTGTGCTGGATGTGAGTCTGCAGTGCACCCTTGCAGCAATTAAGGAATCTCATTAAGAGCCTTCAGGAGGTCATGGAAAGGTTAATAGACCCCTCTGTCTATCTTTTGTGGGACCATTGTGTGGGCAGGAAGGGGGGAGATGGAAGCACATGTCACATAGTGGGAGATTGCAGGAGCTGGGATTGTCCATGCTGGGTCACAGTACATCCCAGATTTTGGGTGTTAACTGTCTTAATAAATCAGTTTTAACCTGGGGGTCCAGTGCAGGGTCAGGAGTTGGAATTTGATGATCCTTGTGGGTCCCTTCCAACTCAGGATATTCTGTGATTCCAGAGAAGACAGCCAGGCTCTTCTCAGAGGTGTCCAGCAAAAACCTGAGGGGGCAGAGGGCTGAAGTTGCATTAAGGAGAATCCCAGATGAATATAAATAGAAGTATTTTCATGCTCAGTAGTAGAAATGGCCCAGAAAGTCAGTGAAATTCCCATCCCTGGGGATACACAAAATTCAACTGGACAGGGTTGGATTAGAGACCTCCAGAGGTCTCTTCTGACCTAAATTATCTCTGATTATGTGCAGACCTGCTCAGGTTGAGGTGTTCCTTAGTTCTGATTTGTACATGTTGACTTCTTCAAAGAAATTCTGTTAATTTCTTGAGGGTTTTTTTCTGTTTTGCTGTTCATAAAAATTACCTTTTCTAGTTTACTAATAGAGAGGAGCTTTATTTGCAGGGTCTGGCTCCAGGCTCCAATCAAGCCATAAGTTAGAGATTTCATTAATTATTTGCTCTGTTTACACAGTTCTTCAGGGATATTTGACTTACTCTGTTTGTTTCATTGCCTAACATCAGACTGGTAAGTTTTTCATGTTTTTGTAACATTTGTGATTTGTAGATCAGTTTTTGCCTTCATTTGTGAAGATTTATCTTTGTCTTGCTGCTGTGAGTGCAAGTGAGAAACTCCACATAGCTGAACCTATTTCAGGAAAAACTCAAGCCCACTGTGGTAAGCCAGAAATTTTGGGTCAGGAGATCACAAATTGGTCATTGTTAGGAGCTGAAAGGGTTTGATTGGGAAAAAGTCAGATTATGCTCAGTTGGATCCCGCTTGTGCTGTTGGCCACTTCTAGGAAAAGCAGTGTGGTAGTTGAAATAAGCTTTATTTTTCATACAGATCAACCCACTAAAATTGGCGTAAGAATTTTCCAAACTCAAAATTGCCGCCTTGATGCAGGATGTTTGGTTCCCTGTGTGTGATCCTAACTGGAATCCAAAGCTGGAGTCACACTTTGCAAATGACTAAATTCAGTGTGAGACTCTGCCCATAATCCTGAGCTGTGGGTGTTCAGCTGGGGATGGTTTCCAACCCCTCCACTGCTTTATCCCCTACTCATTTTAATTAATATTTGTATTAATGTTCCTCCTCCTTCCACTCCAGCTCCATCATGCTGCAGCCCCCACTTCCCAGTGCTCATCAGCTTCTTTCAAACTCATTGAGTAATTACCAGCAAATTTTAGAGGATTTTGTCAAAATTTTGCTCTTGTTTTATCTGAGTTTTCCCACTCAAGTAGCTCTTGCACTCTTTGAAGTTATTTAACTTGATAATACAATTTTGATCAAAGTCTTAAGCTTACAGGCAATAATCTTTGGTTTGGTGCAGCTTTTGGCATTTGGCAAGAACCTTTGTTGGCAGGATTGGTTTTAAAATTGTGTTACATGTCAGTGACCTTAATATATGTTCCTTGCATGGATTTTGTGTGTTTTTAGCAGAAGTCAGGGGTTGGATCCTGATCCCAGCTACTTTAATGGAGTTTTATGGAGTTTTCACTGTGATGATTCCTTGGAAGGGAAGGTTGATGGCCTGACCAAAAAAATACCTTGCAGTTCCCAAGAAGAGTTGCAGAGACATTTCAACCTAAAACATTCCCCTCTGGGCTTTTGAGCAGCTGGGATATTTACTCAGGATATTGGAACAATTATTGGCCAAAAGGGATTTGGTACAGCCCTAAAACCCTCATTTCAGCCTCTCTTTCTCCTGTCAAATTTATGGGGTTTAAACTGTCTGACTAAAGACATTGCACATTCATGAAAACCAGAGGCATTCTAGAGGTGGCAGCTACAAATCCAAATTTAAAATACACTGAAATTATCTTTTTTTCCTTTATGAGAAATGTGTTACAACTAAAAGAGCGTGGTTGAGTGTTTTGAGGACTGTCAGGAAGGTGACAGGGATTTGATGTTGGTTTTTGTCCAACAAATGTAAATCAGACCAAACCAATGGAAGTTTATCTCAGTGGCAGCAGTGAGGCAGAGGAAGAAAAATTTAAACTCTTGTACCGAAGAGTTTGTTGCCATCCTTGGTCTTAGGTTTTATCACTTAAAAATACCCTGGAATTGTTTGTTTTGTAGCTTATATCAGAGGATCGTGGAATGGGTTGAGTGGGAAGGGATTTTAAAGAGCATCCAGTCCCTCCCCTGCCATGGGCAGGGAATCCTTCCACCATCCCAGGTTCCTCCAGGCCCCAGTGTCCATCCTGGCCTTGGACAGTTTCAGGGATGGAACTTCCACGGAGCTAGAAAATAATTTGCCATTTGAAACCCAGGGGAAAATTCACAAAGCGTTTTAAATGCCCCTTTTAATCAGGCTTATGCAGCAGAAGAACCGATGGGCTTGATGGCTGCAGTCTGGAGCTCTTTCCCTTTCTTTCAGGGAGGTCTGGAGCGCTCCAGCCAGGAGCTCGAGCAGGAATGAACCGAAGCCATTGAGCTGGAGGGGCTGGTGATGGGCCTTTGATGTTTCTGTATGTGCAGAGCATCTCTCCCTCAGCTGCCTTGGCAGAAGCCTCCCTGTGCCATTTATTCCCTCTCTGCTCAATGGCAGCGGGAGTGTTCTGCTGATCAAAACACCCAGCACACTTGTGCTGAATCCTTTCAGGCTGCAGCCAGGGTAATTGGGATGGGCAGGATAAATGTATGGGAGTATGGCAGTCACAGTGATGGCAGCTCTTTTCAATGGCTGGGTGTCCCTGACGGGTAATTAGCGGCTTTAGAACCAGGGGGATTGGCATGGCCGTGATTAAAAGGATTTCTGTCTTTTCTGTGATTGAAAACAGAAGATCTCCCACCCCCTAATTCTCTTTAATACCAGTGTTATTAGTGACACTTGGAACACAGCTCCTCTGTAAACTTAAATAATGACCTCAGTGAATGGTGACTTACAGCAGCAGGGACTGAAGCGAGCTCAGTTTTCTATGCAAAGCTGCTCCTCCTGATTCTGTTTCCCGCTCCACGTGCGTGTCACTCCCAGCGAGTTTGGAGACAAAGAGGACATTTGGTTGTGTGACAGCCTGAGGACAGATTGCCCAGAGCCTGGTTTAGCTCTTCTGGCTCATTTTGGATTTAAGGAGATGAAGAGGATGAACTCTGCTGGACTCATCCTGATTTTTCACCTGTCTGCAGCTGGAGGGCTCCTTGGAGCAGGGAGTGTCCCTGGCTCTTGGGTGCCACTCCAAGTTCCCATTCCCAGTTTGGAAGCCTTACCAGCACTTGTTGCCATGCTCTCCTCCAGCTCTGCTCACAGTGTAGAGATGGGAGCTAACTCCCCTTTTTCCTTAAAAAAAAAATCTCAAACTATCCCCCCACAGGAGACTTGGCTGGACACTATCCTTGCCATTCACCCAGGATATCTGGTGGTGACCCAAAATATCATCATTTTCCCCTGATCTTGTTAGATCCTCCAAAAGCATCTGCCATAGGGTGTTCTGTGCCTTTTAAATCTGTTTTTGTGAGTGTCTGTTGCCCACTGTGCACTGCAGAGCCTGTGCTCCATTTTTGCCCTTAATTCTTGACCAGATTTTTCCATAATTTTGTTCTCCACTTATCAGGCAGGTTTCCACATTTTGTTGGCATGTAAAGGTGCTTAAAGGTACTCTGAGACAAATTTAGTAAAATTGGCAGGTTCCTATCACCAACAAATTCTTGAGAGAATTTAGGGACTTCCCTTAGGCTCTTATTTAAATCTTCCAGTTACTTTTCAGCTTCTTTGCCCTGAAATCCTTGTGAATCCCAGTTCCAGAGCAGACCTGTGGCCCTGGGTACTTCAGTTCTCCCAGCACAGTTCCCAGCACTGCACTCACAGTAGCAATGGGAACATCTTCTCTTTTAGAAAATACATTTTTAGATATTCACTTGCTGCTGTCACTGTCCTCAATTCAGCTTCCCGTCCTCCTCTCCCTTCCCCTCAACTAATTAAAGTCTTCCATGTTATGGCAAGATGGCATATGTAGCTTAAATAACCCACCTCTTTAATTAAGAGGTTGAATTCAGCCTTCTGAGATATATTTGACATCATCTGAGATTTAAAAATACATTTTACTTACACAGTTTATCCGTCAGATCACTCAAGGAGGGCAAAGAGATAATGAGAGTAAATTATTAATTAATATTTCTCACCCAGTATATTCCATTAAGAATATTAAGCATTTATTCCATTCCTCAAAGCACATTTGACTTTGGATAGAATTATGTTCTTAAGTCTGCCTGCTGATGAAGTTGCTGCTGTCTCTCTTTGACAGGACTGTAGGGACAGGGTGGAAAATACCGTTCAGAACCTAAATCACAGCCAGGAATTCCAAATATCAACTCACTGACCAAGTTTTCCACTTCCTTTAGCATTGTGAGCAGATCTTTTCAAGCCAATCATGCCACAGACTGTCCCTGACACATCCAAGCTGTTCTTAGCTTGAAAACAATTGGTAAAATTATGGAGTGAAAACAGCAGCAGGAGCACCTCCACTTCCAGTGTACGGGATGGAGTGGGATGGAATGGTGAAGGAATTCAAGATGTTGCTGGGAAAGACCCAGGAGTATTGCACAACATCTGGAACTGCTCCCTGAAAAGGGGAAACACCTTGGGATCTTCGTTGATGAGAGGATTGAAGTGGTTTAGGAGCTGTTACTGGATCTGAGCTGTGATTTTGTTCATTTTCTCACAGAGGTAGTTCAGGGAAGGGCTGTTAAATCCCATCCCATCCCACCCCTGCCGTGGACAGGGACACCTCCCACTGTCCCAGGCTGCTCCAGCCTGGCCTTGGACACTGCCAGGGATCCAGGGGCAGCCACAGCTTCTCTGGGAATTTCATCCCAGCCACACCCTCCCAGGGAACAATTCCTTCCCAGTATCCCATCCATCCCTGCCCTCTGGCAGTGGGAAGCCATTCCCTGTGTCCTGTCCCTCCATCCCTTGTCCCCAGTCCCTCTCCAGCTCTCCTGGAGCCCCTTTAG